AGCATAAGGTGACAAATATGCGGTCGCATATAATATGCGAAAAAAGGGCCGCATATGCATAGTGCTTATTTCCGGCCGCCCTACGACGGACGCGTATATTACGCGAAATTATAGTATTACTTTATTACGGCTAATCACCAGTCCCGGCTTGTATACCTTTTTAATCATGACTGCAGTTCTTAGAACGAAAGCATACCTGAGTTATACGGTACCTGAAGAGAATAATACTCACATTTATTTTAAGAAAGTAGAGGAGCATTTCTGGCAATTAAAACACTATTTGGAGTTTCGTCTTAATTCCGATGAAATAATTTTACCATGGTCTACTGTCTATAACGATTGGCAAAAATCTCTGAATCTTATCGCTAAAAATAGTATTAGAAAGGCTCCCGGCTGTATAACTGTATTTTGCAAGGACCTTCTTGAAATTTGTAAAACTTTTGAAGGATCAATGCTATAAGGAAAAGCTGTGAGGAACTCTATAACGAATTTTATCAACTGAGCCTGGACAAGCAAATTTCTGAGAGAATTCTGCTACTTGATTCAACAATATTTACAGAACGTAAGTTTTCAGAATTCTTACGAAACGCTTCGAGCAAAAAACGAATAGGGGAAGGCGCCTCATTGTCTAGTGAAAAATGAATTCGCCATGAAGAACATAATGTAGATAACGTACCGTCTGAATTGGTTTGTATTTCTTTTTATGGTGTAATATACTATATGCCATTACTTATGCTAAGTTATCTCTTACAACTTATAAGTTTAAAGGTCAAGAAGTATATGACTATGATGACGAAATCTCGGATGTTAAGACTATGAATTTTTCAAATGAAGAGGTAAAAAAATTTTTTTTACCTTCACCTTGCACACATTTATTGGTTAATTGGTTTTACCTATCATTAGAATCAAGTATGCTTAGGAAGGCTGACTTTTTTTGTTAATCAAAAAAGAGTGAAACTGAAGAAATTTCCCAACCAGAAGTTGTATAAGAGGAAAGTTCTCCATTTAATGTGTGGATACTCTCAACAGGGAAAAACGTCTCTCAAGTTTTGGAGAACTTTAGATCAACAATTCCAAAATCAAAGGCTTACCTATAGTGAGCGTTTACAGTATTTTAGTAACCCAGTTGCAAGATTTTCTCTAACATCACACATCTCAATGTTTATTTACCAGTCCTGCATTTTTTGGAATACTTGATTTATCCGGTGAAGATACAGAAGTCAAGAAACTGTTTACCGACGATGAATGGTCAGAAATGCAAAATGATTTTAGCAAAACAGTGGAATTAAAGACATAAAATACGATGGTATGCCGGAAGAGACTAATAACAGCGATGGGGAAAATAATGAAGCAAAACGAAAGTCTCAAGAAGAAATAGAAGTAATGCTGTACGACTTATTTGATAAAATCCAAGAGGTAATAAATGCTTACATCTTCATTCCTCTCGTTTGATGATTAGCTTACTTTTGAATTCATTAAGGTTATTAGAAAGAAGCCAGATGATCTAATCACAGCGATAGAAAAATGTACAATTGAGGTGTGGCATCAATTTTATTACTATCATGACTTAAAATTTCGAACTTTTAATTTTTTTTTGACCATTGTTGCTATTTGCGTCTTGATTGAAGGGAAATTCAAAGATCAACTCTATTCGAAGACTAATTCAAATCTAGTAAGATCATAATCTCCATCTTACGTTAGATAACATTTAATTAACTTTAATTTTTTACAATATGGAAGCGCTTATAACCTGGAAAGATTACAAACCTCGATCCCAGAAGCTATGTTCTCCAATAATTTTACGAACATGTTAACTAAAGGCATCCTGACGTACCATCAGAAGTTTATATATGATGAGTAAGGATATTGAAATTCCTGATTTTACCAAATTATATTCTAATTTTTAATAATAAATATTTGACATTGTTTTTTAGAGGAGAGATACAAAGTATTTCATCTGCGTTCATTACAAATTCAACGAAGAAACCAACAGACAGGTCTCTGATAGGACAAAAATGTGATTTTAGGGTTACATGTGACGGATTTGAAATGGTTATTGGGTTGCGATCTGGGGGATTGCCAGAAGCCTGTAAATCAAAGAAGTGGGACGATAAGATTGATTTGATGGTTGCAATGCGTGACGTATTATTGCAAGAAGCAATCGAAAATAATGGAGTAGAGTGTACAGATTTCAAGCAATTATATACAATTGGAGTCCATTCGTATGGTAAGATTTCCAGGGAAAACACATCATCAATTGTATGCACATATATTTAAATTTATATTGCTTTTTAGGTTTTTTTTATAAAGTCTATGCCATGGATTGGAAATCAAGAGGTGTGTGGAGGCTAGGCTTACTTAAAAAAACAAAGTTACCACAATCAAATGCGCAATTGCCCATGATTGAGAAATTAGTTATGACATTGCTACGAATTGAGGTTTGTCTATCTCACTGCTACTTTATGACTGTTAGGAATACCGGATTCATATGTCTGGGAAGATTCCATTTGTTAATTAATCTTTTCACTTCTGTAGTTAACACTCAATCATATTGAAACTATTCGGAATGACCTAGCAGTAAAAGCGTCAAGATTACATAGAAAAAGGCGCACATCTGTCGTCCTTAAACAATATGCAGTTTGTGAACAACGTTTAAGGCGGATACGTATTTTAAAAGACATATACAAGGAATGGCAATAATAGATGGTTAATTTATGTAATATCTATGAACCTTTCTAAATATGTACAGTATATGCATCGGAAAATATTGAAGTTTTTCTACTATTTACGAATACTTTGTAATACAATCATTTAATAGAGATATATCAGTGAGATGTGGTGATTTGTAAACGGTAAGGTCACACAGAACTATGATCACTCTGTGCTATGTTTTTTCTTCCATTGCTCTAGCCCAAAAATTGAATCGCATATTCATAATTTATAAAGTTATTAAATTCGATGTGAATCACATAATCGTCTAAGATATATATTTAGTAGGATAGAATGTGCACGAGAATCTGGCAAAAAAATCCAGGCGTACATTACAAAAAAATTATCGTCTATCGGGACTCTGTGCTTCACAGTTAGCTAAATATTACAAATCATTATAGGTGATCTGAGAAGAAGCTAACCAATGTATAGTTTAACTTATTGTAATACATTTCTATCTACCATTTAAAATAAAATCGTCAGAGGTATTTTTAAAGACTAGTATTTTATTATTATAAGGGTCAATGATATTTTTTATTTTATTTTTGTGTCAACCTGTTTTGTAAATTATAAAAATTCCTAGTATATATAATATAATAAATTTATTTTTTCTCATTTCTTTCAATTTCAATATACAGTATATACGTATATATATTTGATAATATAATAAATAACAAATAAAATTAATATATCAGAACCAGTAACAATAGTAATCATACTGCTAGTAGTACCAGTTAATAGCAAGGTCAAGATCCACATTGACAGTCAAGCTTACATCTCCAAATAAAAAACTATAGAAAAAGGTGATCCCAAAAAAATCCACAAAAAATGCACTAGTTGAAAAATATTTATTTGACATAATGCCACTCATGTAACATTCATCAAAAAACAAATAATTTGACATATTAATAATATAAATAAATCATCAATCTATTTCTACCATATAATTCGGCATATAATTTGGTATAAATAAATTATCAATCAATTTCCACTATATAATTTGGCATATAATTTAAATTATCAATCAATTTCTACTATATAATTTGACATTATTTGCCATATTTACACCATTTTTACTATATATTTTATTAAATTTTTTCTCAAAAAATCTTTAGATATTCATCAAAATTTCAATTTTTGTCAAAATTCACATATTTACCCAATTTTTAATTATATATTATATTTACAATTTAGAGGAATTATAGTTAAATATTTGCGAGAGTCTTGCCGATTTGAGGTTCTATATCTAAATGGAATAAATCAGTCAAAAATATTATAAATAGAAATTAAAATTCGGTACTCCACAATTTAACATTCAAGTTATTTTCGAATTTAAAATAAAATCTATTTTCTGTCGAATTAACTAGTTTGTACCACTGAATAAAGGTCAAATGATGTTCAATAACATTATTTGGAAAGATTATTGAATGTGTAAAAAAGAATTGGACTTGTCCTGGATATAAATTGACACTTCCATCATGATTCACAAATCTAGCTAATATAAATGAGCCTTTAATATTTCATGAAAATATAGCAGAATCTAATATTTCACTTCTAATTTGGCATCTACTATATTAATCTGCTCTATTTTGAATAATTATCAAATTTTCATTATCTTTCATAAACAGCTTCTGAAAGTCTATAGTTTCACAAGATACCTCATATTATTCGACTAATAGATTTAATATTTTGAAAAATACCTCTAAATTTGATTTTTTCAGGTACAAGAGTTCACCTGGAAAATGTTCAGATCCATTGATTATTGTTTCATGAATATTATATATGTTGTTTAAAAATCAATATAACTTGTCAGCTGAAAACTGATCTAGTTCAGAAATTAAGTCAATATTTGGTCGATTATTTAAAATTTCAAGCCTCTGTTTATTAGTATAGGACATAGTTGGATTAATAATTCGATGATCATTCATCAATCTTCACATTAATTCAAATTCAATATTTCAATGACTATTAGATAATGAATCTAGATTAAAAATTCATTAGAATTCTACTTTTGAATGTTAAATTTGTTTAAAAACCTACCTAATATACCATTCATCCTCTCAAATGAAAAGCATCAAAATGTATATAATAGCCCATAATCACATGCATATTCATATAAATGTAACGAAAGATGAAGATTCAGAGTAATTTTTTCTTTCCCATATTTTTATTCTATTAGTTTAATCATTGTAACTAATATTTCATAAACCTCATTTAACAAATTTCATCTTAAAATTCAGCATACTAAGATTTGACAGATCTTGACAAAATTCGTTAAAATTTGTGATTCATATTTCCATAGAACAATAGTTGCATATATTGTGAAAAAATTTATTCATTGATCGACAATAAAGTTCGAAAATCCTTCGCCACTATTTACTTTTCATAGAATTCAGCCAATATCTGATGGCACTTGAAAATTTTCCATCATTGATTGTATTTTATCCAATGAATTATTCGTCAGTTTTTTTTCTTCAATTCATATTCATTTAATGAGCTATTTACCAATATCTAAGAAAAGATAGTGTATAAGATCGATAACTAAATGCCAAATTGGATCAAAATAAGATAGGCGAAAAAATTTGAACCATCTGGTATAATTCTCACTGACAAAATGTTTTCGTGCTGCATTTGAGTTACAGTATTTTCATTCAATAAAATCTTATTTATATATTACCAAATCTCTCGGTATAAATCATTCATTTATATTCTCCATGCTATCAAAATTATAATGATTATTTTTATAATTGGCATTCTTCTTGCAACGATGATATAACACTAGTGCCAAAATATGTTCACACACTTTTTGTGCAGCAGAAATATCACATGAAATTAAAATTAAGGCCACCCAAATTATTTTTTTCTCTTTATTTTCAACAGTTGAATCAAGCTTTATTCTTTGCTATAGTTGCATTAATTCGTCAACAATTGAATAAAGGTAATGGTTTATTTGATGTAAACTTGGTTCACTAGGACCTGGTAATATATTAAGAATCAACATATTTTTGTGTTTAAATCATATTTCGTGTGACAGATTTGCGATAGCCTCATATATAATTCCTGTACTGTGTGCTTTATTATTGAATAGTTGAAACCAGTCGATATTTAGCACCAATCCCAAATGTGAATCAGCCATCTCTTTGCTAAAAAATAATTCTAAGTTTTTATCTTTAAAAGTTTTTCAAATATTACCATTATAGATATTATATAAAAGTTTATCAATACTTGATCGATCTACCCAATGCCAAAGATTAGATTCAAAATTCAGATTTTGATACATTTGTGACAATTGATACTGAATAGTAGAATATGGAAAAACTAAATTGGACTGATTAATTACATTTCCATTTAATAATCCTGATTATGTAAACAATAGGGAATTACAAGTTTTTCTTTATTTTATTATCGAATTGGAAAATTCAATATGAACACACTTCATGATCGATAACTGATTGTTTTTTTTTGAAAACCAAGAACATCATTCTGTCTGTACAATTTGTGATATCTTTGATATGCCACAAAACTAATGAACTAATCTAATAATTCAAGTTTATTGTTGGCAGTATACAAAGATTTACAAAAGAGTTCAAATTCTTCACCATCAATTTCAATTAGTACCAATTTCATAAATTTTAGCAATGCATCTGTTGCACTATTCAATAAATTAAATTGAATTCTATAGTTCATAATTTATAATAAAATCTATA